AGTGCTGTGGCATCAGCCTAGCTCACGGCAACCTCAAACTCCTGGGCTCAAGCAATTCTTCTGCCTCAGCCTTCCGAGTAGCTGGGACTACAGGCATGTGCCACCATGCCCGGCTAATTTTTTTCTATATATATTTTTAGTTGTCCAATTAATTTCTTTGTATTTTTAGTAGAGACGGGGTCTCGCTCTTGCTCAGGCTGGTTTCGAACTTCTGAGCTCAAACAATCCGCCCGCCTAGGCCTCCCAGAGTGCTAGGATTACAGGCGTGAGCCACTGGGCCCGGCCGAAATTAATGTCTTAAAATTGAAGATTTGTTAGATATATTATTATATATTCATGTCAGGCAATACTAGGCCTCTACTAAGATTGCAGTTTTGAAAAATATTTAATAGCACAGAAAAATGCTCTTGATATAATGGCAATATACTGAGAAAAGCAGAGGAGAAATCTTTATAAGGTTATAATCACAATTTTATAAATAAACCAAACACACAGACATACACAATGACAAATGAAAGGAGGTATGTCTGAATATTACCATTGATTATCTCTGGGGGGTGAAATTATGGGTGACTTAATTTCTTTTTTATCCTTGCCAGCATCCCAAAGTTTTTTACAACAAGCGTGACTGTTATCGTTAAGGAAAAAAATAAACAGGAGCAAGTCTTCCTCATTTGTTTGGAGAGGGTGCTCTATTTCCTCACTGCAGGGTCAACTGATCCTTCACTGCCTGCCTTGCATGTGTGAGGAGCTCACTTTGCTGTCCCTTGTGAAAATCTCGGGTCACATGAGAAGCCAAAGGGAGGCAAAGAGAGAGGCAACATGGATTGCCAGGCCCTGAAACCTAGAAGAGTTTCTCTGAAACAAAGCCATGACTATTTGATTCTGTTACATCTCTGATGAGATCGTCTTAAATAAGCATTTTATGTTCTGATCTTTTCTGCAAGATGAAGTTGACACCGTGAGTCATTCCTGTTTGCGTAAGTTAATGCTGTGACAATTTGACGCTCACGGCAATGTCTGAATGTGCTCCTTCAGAGTTAAGCTCTGTGTGGAACACCAGATGCTCTGGATTTTTGAGACAGTTGATTTTAAATATTTTGTTCTCTGTGAGGTTAAGTGTGATACTCTATATTTTACTTCTTGTTTCACAAAATATAGTCATATAAGGGATCTTCCCTTATATGGGAAGATCCCATGGTAAATTAAGTGGAAAACATGTTCACCACTGCTATGAAGCTAGGAGCCACGTTTATAAACAAAGTGACGTATGATTATAAACCAGGACAAGGATGGGACCAGTGGTGGGTCACCAAAAACTCAGTAATTAAGATAAATAACGTTTTAATGCAAAATTCAAAAAACCCAAAATTAATGCAAAAAAATTCATGATAAAAAAAATTTCAAAATTTAAAATAAAGACAGGATGCATTCCTGCCTCACTTGCCCTACCCTAATGCTGGGTCTGAATCATAGAAAAGTCTTGTTATGAAAGATATGATCTAAGGGATTAACAGTGGCTATATCTTAATGTTGGAATTAAGATGATTTCTTTTTAATTATAGAGGTTTTACAATTTTTCTGCTATGAACCTATACAATTTTTATAACATTTCTTTCTTTAAAATATCCATAAGATGTTAGACTTATAGCACAAAAAGGTTTATGGCTGGTCGCAGCAGGCAGGATTAAAACAGTACATTTTAATGAATTAAAAATAAAATTAGAAACTATTCTTACTTAAAAAGAGAACAAAAATTGGTCGCTGCAGGAATATAAACAAATTCCTCCCTACTTGGAGCCCTTACATGACGTGGTTCTTATGGCAGTAAAACACCTGTCCCATTGCACCATAAACTACCGCTTTCCACCAATTTCTTGGCACTCGCTTGCTCCGTTGCAAGCTCTTTCCTGTGACTGCTTCACAGGCACGGGTCCTGTGCCTGCGACAGTTCTAGGCTGAGAGGAGATGCTCAGTTAATGTTTGAGCTCTTTTTCGTTAGGCAAAATATGGAAATATGTTTTTTTAAAGAATTAACAGATGTTCCCAAATTCTGGGAACTTTCTTGCCAAAGTTTTTGGCATATTTTTCAGTCAAAATGTTCCATCAGGCACTTAGATACGCATTTAGAATTGCTTTCATGTTATACTCTAATACTTGCATGCAGTTGGCAACAATATTTCAAAATTTCAAGACTCATCAAAATTGTGTCATTTGCTCCTCACCTTCCCCACTCCCCCATTGTTAAAATTGTTACAATCGGCCAGTCGCAGTGGCTCATGCCTGTAATCCTAGCTCTCTGGGAGGCCGAGGCGGGTGGATTGTTTGAGCTCAGGAGTTCGATACCAGCCTGAGCAAGAGCGAGACCCCTGTCTCTACTAAAATTAGAAAGAAATTAATTGGACAACTAAAAATACATAGAAAAAATTAGCCGGGCATGGTGGCGCATGCCTGTAGTCCCAGCTACTCGGGAGGCTGAGGCAGAAGGATCGCTTGAGCCCAGGAGTTTGAGGTTGCTGTGAGCTAGGATGACGCCATGGCACTCTAGCCCGGGCAACACAGTGAGACTCTGTCTCAAAAAAAAAAAAAAAAAAGAAAATTGTTACAATCACAGTTTTAGGGTTGATATAAGGTGGCTCTCTCTCTACTTCTCTTTCAGTATTTGACAGATAAAAACAGTGGAGACCCAGGGATTCTGTCCTTGTAAGGTAAGCTAGCAGCTTCGGTCTCTCTCCCGACCCTTTACCTTCAGTGCACTTTCCTAGTCCTTTTCCTTTCTGAGAATTAAGAGGTTTTTTTTTTTTTTTTTTTTTTTTTTTTTGAGACAGAGTCTTTCTCTGTCACTCAGGGGCATCACCATGCCCAGCTCATTTGTTTGTATTTGGAGAGATAGGCTCTCCCTATGTTGCCCAGCCTGGTCTCAAACTCTAGGCCTTAACGATCCTATTGCCTCAGCCTCCCAAAGTGCTGGGATTACAGGCATAAAACACCACACCTGGCCTCTGAGAATTAAGAGATTAAAACTCAGATTTTAAATTCTTAAAAAGCCAAGGTGAAATTTAAGGTATATTTATTTATTTCTTTCCTTCCTTCCTTCCTTCCTTCCTTCCTTTCCTTCCTTCCTGCTCTCTCTCTTTCTTTCTTTCTTTTTCTTTTTCTTTCTTTCTTTCTTTCTTTCTTTTCTTTCTTTTCTTTCTTTCCTTTCTTTCTTTCTTTCTGTCTCTCTCTCTCTCTCTCTCTCTCTCTCTAAATCACAGAAATAGATTTGTGAAAACTTTTAAAGCTGTCTGAAAAATCCTAAGTTCTAGTCCAGGCCGTGTCACTAACAAGCTTGGCCAATTCTTTCAATTTCTTGTGGTTTCAGCTTTCTTACCTATAGAATGGGGTTAGCCAGGTGCAGTGGCTCACACCTGTAATCCTAGTACTCTGGGTGGCCAAGGTGGCAGGATCGCTTGAGGCCAGGAGTTCTAGACCAGCCTGAGCAAGAGCAAGACCCTGTCTCTACGAAAAATAGAAAAATGAGCCAGGTGTGGTAGCTTGTGCCTGTAGTCCTAACTACTAGGGAGGCTGAGGTAGGAGAATCACTTGAGCCCAGGAGTTTGAGGTTGCCGTGAGCTATGATGGTGCCACTGCACTCTAGCCCAGGTGACAGAGCAAGACTCTGTCTCAAAACAAACAAACAAACCCCTCCCCCCAAACCAAAAGGAAACCCCTGTAGAATCAGGTTGGTTTCTGCCCTACTGACCACACCAGTGTAAGGATCCAAAGAGATCCTCAATGTGAAAATGCTTTTAAATGTATCAAAAGACTTTAAAAACCCTTTTACTCATTAATTCCATTCTGGAAACCTATCCTGAAAAATAATCCTTTAGATTAGGCTGATATGCAAAGATGCTTATAGAAACATTATTCATATGGAGATAATTTATTTGTCTAACAAAGGAAATGGTCAAATAAATTATAACTCATTTATATTCTGGAATATTTGTGACTATTTAAAATAATGTTATAAAAATAGTATAAAAATCAAAATTTTCTTATGACAGAATAGTAAGAAAAGTAAGAACCAAATTTTGAAGACAATGACAATTAAAAAAAAAATCTTTATCACAGAAAGTAAAATGGTAGTAAAAACACCTGAATTTAACAGTTTGTATTTGAAAGGTTGTATTTTTATTTTCTTTAATTATGAGTTCATAATAATGTGATAATGAAAAATTTTGTTGTTTTTAAAGACAGCTAAAAAAAAATCTGTTTTAAATGTTATGTTGATACTAGCAAGGCTCCTTTAAAAACAAGAGCCTTGTTTTTCAGACAAAGTTTGCATCGTGAAGATGATTTTTGCATATAAATCCTTTGGTCCTAGAAAACATTTGCTTTATTACCAAGGGGCTCAGAGTTATACCTGTGACAGAAGACAAACTTTCTTTATGGTCCTTTCTGTATGAACACGAAAAAAGCATAATTTTGTTGTCTGTTACATTTCTGTTTCAGAAAGCATTATACACAATAAAACACTTTTAATAGATAAAAAATAAATGTTATATTGATACTACTTATTTTTTTAAACAGACAAAGCCAGAATAAAACCCTGGATTATGAAAATAGCTAAGTATTTTATCATCCCATCATTTTTGAAGCCTTTATGCAAAATAGCAAACCTGAATTTAAAGGATGCAAGTGGACATTAAATAAATTAATTAAGAACCTGCTTATCTTTTCAAGTGTAGATTTTTGCGTCCATGGGTTTTGGAGGGAGAGGTGTATGATGTTTGGAAATACGGACTATCTGGTGTTTCCAGGCACAATGAGCCATTTGTTCTCTCTTAGCAAGCAATCTAGAGGAATAAAGCATCTTTCTAAGCACTTTCTCTGTTTAGTCTGACCCAGGCCACCAGGCCCCACATGACCTGCTGGCCTCTGTCCCTGGGACTCCTCCAGGACCCTCTTCCCTGGTCTTTCAACTTGTCACGTGGGTGTGATGATCACACTCCAAGCTCCTTCATGCCAGGGCTGCTGCAGATTCCATTTCCTCGGCCTGGACTGCCCATCTCCAGGTCTTCACATGACTGGCTCTTTCATGCAGTTCAGTTTCAGCTCGAATCTGCTTCCTCTGGGAAGCCTTCCTGGACTACTCCATTGAAAATACCTGCCTCCCCTCACTCCCTACCCCAGTCACTCGCTATCATCCTGGTTAACTTATTTCTAATATCATTTGTCACTTTCTGGAATAATCTTGTTCACTTTTTGGTTGACTAGTTTATCTCCTCCCAAGCACCTTCCCACCTGCTCCATCATCGCATGGAAGTGTCACAGGAACAGGGACTTGACTTGTTTTGTTCACTCACGTCTCTCCAGCACATACCACACAGTAAGCATTCAATAAGTGAACTTAAGCTGCCTATTGTCATGTTTTTGTTTGTGATTTTATAAGGCTGATGAGGTGGTTATATGACATTTCTGTAAACTATAAGGTGGACCTAATTGTTTCTAGTTGCTGGGATCCACTTTAGAGGTTCGCCCAGATCATTCCAGGCTTCTAAAGAGTGGTGAGTGTCCATGCCCAGATTTGATGACTGGAACTGTTGGTCTAAGGCCTTTCTGAGAGTATGTCATAAGGAAGACTGAGGAGGACTGACTTATTCTGGAGAGGAAGAAGTAAGGAATCACTAAAGGCCCCCAACATTCCAAGGCCACCCCCTTCTTTCCAAACATCCCTAGCAGACCCCAGACTGGAGCAAGAATAGCTTTGCCCAAGACTTTCTTGCCTTATTTCTGCATAGACTGGTCAGGGATTGGCTAATTTTTTTGGTAAAGAACTGATAGTATTTTGGGCTTTGCAGGCTATACTCTGCCATTGTGACATGAAAGCAGCATAGGCAATACGTAAACTTAGGGACATGGCCAGGTCTGGCCCTAAGACTATAGTCTGCCCCAACCCTGGACTAGAATCAGGGTCTCTGGCCACCTCAGATCTATTCCAACCTCAGCATGGCCCTCCTTCTGGAGGTCACAAAACCTCTGTACTTTCTGAGTCAGAGGGCATGAGGTGGAGTGGGAGGAAATTACATTTGGGAAGAAGGGACCTAAAGCTAGATGGCACCAATATAATGCAATTTTCAATAGATAGCAGTATTCTGAGTTATTTTGAATTTAGTTCATCTAAAAGTGGGCTCAAATCAAAAGAAGTTCAATTTAACAGGCCTGTACCGGGCATCTGTGTATATGCAGGGCTAATATTCAAAATGTTGAAGGACTGATGTGGCAGGGGAACTGACCAATTAGAGTGGACAAGTGGCAGAAACATTGGTAGGGACATGCTAGAGTGCACGGGTGTAAATAAGCTCCACGATGCAATGGCCAAGCAGGGCACGGGTGCAGCCTGGCTTGCAGGAAAGCAACGCTGAGGCAGAGCTGGTAATCATAGAGGTGCTACAATTGTGACAGACCCTCGAAAGAGAGGCCTGTGTGCAAAAACATCTCTTCCACATACTCTTCCCTGATGTCAGAAATTCCATCATCAGAAACCCATTTTTGTAGGTTAATGATTACCACCTTCCTTTTAAATGCAAAAACACTTGGAGACATACACATATCGACTCATTTTGAGTCACGTACTCTTTACAAAAATACAAATATGGATTATTTATATTAGACCCTTTCCATCAGTCATATGGGAGAGATCTTAAAAGAGGAAAATACAGAAATTCTAAGTAAAGAAGGTTAGTTGGGGAATATGCTTTAGAGAGGAAAGGCCCTCATCCACTTTAAATTTTGACCAAGGTTACCTTGAATACAAGAGCCATTTAAAAAATGTGAACACATTGGAACCAATTTAGACAAGAAAAAAAATGTGAACACAACTAATCTTTTTGCTGTGACTGCTAGGAAGCTTAGATCTAAATTCACAAGCTGTTTCTAGTATGTGCATTTTATACCTTGGTGTTTACTTTTCTATCTCTATTTTTCCTCTTACATTATTCCTCAAATACTTGCTTTGACTTTTTGTATTGCATGTTATTTGCAAGCCACCTCGGATTCTGTATGAAGCAAAATACCTAGATAGATATTTATTCATTTATTGATTCAGTCATGCAACACATGCACCTCATATGCACCAGATACTAATCTTAAATGGACAGGAGGTAACGCTGATTAGACTTCAATGGACTTATAAAATGATTTAAAAAGTATAATAGATATTTTGCTTATTTTCTCACTATGCCCCTTTAGGTTTTGTAGGGCAGGAGGAGGAAGAGGGAATTGGGCAAAGATTCACAAACCTGTGCAAGGTGGTAGTTGTTCCTCCAGGTCCTGGGGGTGGCTGAAAATAGGGAGGGGGCTGCCGTGGAAAGCTTCAAGGCTGTGATGAGGAGGACAGCAAGGCCAGATGCAGGGAGCACCTTCATCTCCTTACCGTGGCTTGGTAATTATATCAGCCCAGGGGATGGCAGACAGTGCACATTTGCACTTCGACCCTGAGCTCCTTTTATAGAGTCAAATGGGTCTGGGCCCTCCGAGCAGGGATGATTCATGTCTCAAACGGTAATTACACAGCTCCCTGATGATGGGGTAACACAACTGTACAGAGGAGTCAGGAAAGCTTCATTCTTTGCGATTTACCAAGTGGCAAAAGGACAAAACCAGTCCTTTTTAATGAAGTTTGTCAGCTACTGACACAAATTGGGGAATTGGTTGATTGGTTTGGACCCAACTTGATTGGTTTGAACCCAACTCAGTTGAAACATTTCATTAGTCTCAGTTTGGGGGCCTTTTTCCATTCTGATTACAGAAAAGTTGAATGATTAGAACATAATTGAATTTACCTTCACAGTAATCCTGGGCTCCCCGTGTATTCAACCCAATCGCCTGTATCTTCTGCATCCGCCTTGACATTTCTAGTAACAAATGCTGTTCATAATGATGGTTCTGAGACATGTAAAATTCTGAATCATCAAGGTAACATTACATTATACTGTGCTGACTCAGGGTGGAAAGTGAACTGATACTGTTAGAAAGCTTTTCAATGAGTTAACACAGGAGTTATCTTAGTGAACAAAAACATCAGGCAGAACTCCCCATTCCCTGTGCACTCTGGTTAATCGGAGTCGTATTCTTTTTTCTGGCTCCAATTAAGATGGATTTTGATCTAGAGATCGCATGGAAAAATGGTGATATATGATGGGAAAAGCACTTTGTAGTCAGACAAATTGAGATTAAATTTTGTTTAATATACTTCCTAGCAGTATGATCTTGGATAAGTTATTTAATCTCTGTGAACATCGGTTTTCTTAATCTGCAAAAGACTGACAATAATATTAGGTCATTAATATGAAATGTCTGATTTTGAATCAAAAGTGTAGTTTATTATATCTCAAAGAAGAAGCAGTACACTTAATCAAAGTATGCACCTAAACTATCCATACAGTTTTGCCATCTTAACAGTAGTTTGTTTATACCAGCACCGAAGAAGCCTGGAGAGTGAGTGGTGATGAAATCACGAAAGGCGTTTTCCATAGCTTGTTGAGAATTGAATATTTTTCCTTGTAAGAAGTGGTCCAAAGCTTGGAAGAAGCAGTAGTCAGTTGGTGCGAGGTCTGGTGAATACGGTGGATGACAGAGAGTTTCCAAGTCTAGCTGCTGTAGTTGGAGCAGCGTTGTTTGTGCGACATGTGGTCGAGCGTAGTCTTGCAAGAGGATTGGCCTGTCTCTGTTGACCAATCTCAGCTGCTTAATCACAGGCATCCTCATCATTTTGTCCAATTGGTTGCAGCAGACATTCACTGTAATTGACAGACCAGGTTTCATGAAGCTGTAGTGGGTAATACCAACGCTGGACCACCAAACAGACATCATTAGCTTTTTTTGATGAATATTTGGTTTTGGACTGTGTTTCGGTACTTCATCTTTACCCAACCATTGTGCCAAATGCTTGTGATTGTTAAAAAGAATCCATTTTTTATCATACATAACAATACAGTGTAGAAATGGTTAGCCTTTATGTCGTGACAGCAAAGAAAGGCAAGCTTCGAAACGATTTCTCTTCTGATGCTTGTTTACTTCATGTGGTACCCATCTATCCAGCTTCTTTACGTTGCCCATTTGTTTCAAACGGTCCAATATTGTTGGAATAGTAGTCAAACCTGGCTGCTAATTCACATATAGGTTGAGAAGGATTCGCTTCCATGACAGCTTTCAGCTCATCATTATCCACCTTGGTCTCAGGACATGCACATGGCTCATTTTTAAGCTTAAAATCGCCAGAATGGAACTTCTCATACCATTGACATACTGTTGTTCATTAGCCACATCCTTCCCAAACACTGTGTTGATATTTTCAGCTGTCTGCACTGCATTGGTTCCAGGACAGAACCCATATTTGAAAATAACATGAATTTTTGATTTATCCATGCTTTCACAAAAATTGCTCTAAAAAAATTTTGAAAGATAATCACAAGCCAAAATGTGCATTTGAAAGAATGAGGATGTACCTTCATGATTAAAAAAAATAAAGAAGTGTCAAAGTGAAATGTCCAAGATATCAACTGTCAAATTTAGTACTTAAGGAAATCAGACATTTCATACTTAATAACCTAATACTATGATATGCAAACTCCTCAAGGTTATGGGGTAACACATCATATAGCATGATATCTACTAGCACACATAGTATCCATTAGAACTGGGTTCAAATTCTAATTCTGACACCTATCCATATGACTTTCAGCAGGTTGATTAATCTCTTTTAACTGTTATTTTCATCTGTAAAATAGAGGAAAGATGTCTACTTTGCAGAATTTTCATAAAGGAGAAAGTCCCATAATAACAAAGCTCTTAGCAGAATGCTTAGTAGGCATTAGCTCTTACAAAATAATGTTCAATTTATTTTTTATTTTGGTGCCAGGTACCTGGTAGGCTCTTCATAAATTTTTTTGAATGGCTGAATCGATGACTAGATCAATGATTCTCAAAATGTGGTTCCTGGACTGGCAGCATCACTATCTCCTGGAAACATGTCGGAAATGCAAACTCTCTGGCCCCACCCAGATTTACTGAATGGGAAACTCTGGGAATGAGTCCCAGCTGGCTGCATTTTAACAAGACTTCCAGGTAATTCTGATGCATGCTAAAGTTGGAAAACCACTGGATTAGTTGAGTGAATAGAATTATGGGGTCTGAGGTGAAATGAAAAAAAATGTATGAAAAGTGCCAAGAAGTGTATGGAATGTCCCAGACATTCAATACTGCACTTACCATCTGGGACTGTGCTTTTTAGTGGTGACACACCTGGTATTTGAAAGCCATTTGTGAAGTCCGTTGCAAATAATTTATTATTAATACTGGTTAAACCATGAAAGTATGTGGACGTCTTACTTTCACATTTAGACTAGATTCAAGGTTATTCTTACAGTGATGTCTTTCTTTCTTGCTCTGTTGCATTCTGATGCACTTTCTTGTATGGAAGAGAAAGTGATGGTGTTACAGCCAACATATGGGGTCTAGTGAATAACCCCAGGTGCTCAAGAAGAGTTTGTTGCACATCCAGGTGTCATCTCTGTCACATACTGTGAGATGCACAAAGCACGTATCTCAGAAGAAAAAAAGAAAGAAGACCACAGACCTATTAGATTCATTCAGCTAACTAACTTGTAAGCTCTTTGAAGACTGTGTGATATGAAAATGTCACTTAGTCAAGTTTGTTGAAGTAATGAATGTACAATATATATTAATTGTCACTTGTTGATCTCAGAAAAGGAAAAGGATATTACAATAATCTTTAAAAATTTGCATTTATGTGTACTCCTATACTCTGTAGCCTTTCATAGCAGCTGCCAAAACTGAAGAACAGGGGCTGAGTCCTTGAAACTTCCCTCCAATTGGTCATCTTCTTCCCTTTTTCCCCCCAAATGCTGCTCCAATTCATCATGACAACCTTGGTGCAAAAGCAGATAGGGAGGTGGGCATTGGAGGGGAAGGAATTCTAAAGCCGACATTTTCGCCTCTAGGACTCTAAAGAATATTATTCTAAGTTTCACTTTTGGAGGTAGATTGAAGTAAATAACTGCCTATAAGGTGTGATCTAGATACTTCTCAAAGGTTCCAATATCCACTCTTCTAATGCATGAATACAATCAATACCAATATTTCCAAGGGCAACATTTCAATTGTTAAGTGCAAAAATTTTGAGGAAGAATAGCAATTTATGTTCTTATAAGTCACTTAAATGTCAGTGTGAATTAATTTCCCCTCACAGTCAATACTAGGCAATACCTTTGACTCTTCCAGAGAGAATGACAGACTCAATGTCTAGTAATTTCTTGATAGAATTTTCCTCTTCTTGATTTTTCTCTCTTCGTGGGGGAGCAAAAGTCTGCTTTCTTTCAATTGTTCTTGTATCAAATCTAAATTTAAATCCAATCATTCAAACCTGAAAAGATCATATCAAAGCAAGTCAACGACTAAAAGGAAATGAAATGAGAGACCCTGTCAGAGAAATGTGGAAAACATAGTATCTGTAGAAAATTGGATGATAAAAATAATATACATGAGACAGGACGTTGGTAGCCTCCAGGCAGGGATGATGCTTTGGGGATTCTGTAGATTTCTTAGAAACTTTAAACAGAACCTAATTTCCATGTGCCACTAATACAGGGGAATAAGGATTTTAAATTATAAAATCAAGTTTTTACAGAGAACTTCTCCTTGCTAGATCCTAGCTGAATTGAATTCCTTAGAAGTTTTAGTAAATCCTCAACATTTAGGTTTCTGAGATTGTGCCTGCCATGCACGTGATAAGTTGATGAATAATTGCTGAATAAGTGACAGATTGCCTATTTGCCTTACTTAAGTAAAGCATAGGCTGTATATATAGGCAGACGTATTATCAAACACTGACTTGGCCATTTTCTTAAATTTCCAATGTGTTACCAATGTTCTTAAATTTCAAGCTTCAGAAACCAGCTCTGGTTTAATTTAAGAGAATCGATATTTTGGGGGAGGGTATTAGGTAGCTCAGACAATTGCCAGGAAAGATGGACCCCCAGTCTGGGGGAACCAGCAGTAACAAGGGCAGTAGAAACCAAAGCCAAGGCATGATCTGTCAGTGGGACCCTGGCCTCTTACCACGAGACAATATTCCAGCCGAGAAGTGAAAGGTGTTGCTGTGGGACTTTTCAGCATTCAAAGTCCCAGGGTTGGTCGGGCTTGGGTCATGTGCCCTCACCCTGATGTCCAGAGTCAAGAAACAGGAGGACCTCTCCTACTTGGCCTCTGTACAAGGAGGCAGAACACCTTCTGTGGACACCACCAATAACGTATGGAATGGGGAATGTCTCTGACAAAGGAACAAATCACAACCAATCAAAATCAAACCCAGAAAATGTTCCAAACAATCAGCGACCTTCCTAAACTTCT